ATGTACCCAGACCCCTTGCAATCCTAGTGACTGACGAGCGGTGGAGCTAAGCTGAACGTTGGCAGGCTTCATAGTTCGTTGGCGAGGCGGGTGGTTGCGACCATAGTTATCACACTGGCGGGGTTGTGACTTGGATCTATGACGGTCGAAGTTGCGACTATTGCCAATGGCATCGACGTTCGTAGACGGGCAACTTTACCTAACGTCTGCAGCATGGCGCATATATATACAAGTATTTCTTCTTGCTGATAGATCTGTGTACATTTCTTAAAGTAGGCTGCCAGACGTGCTGTACGGCCACACGCACTGAATGCACAGAGGCGTGAATTCACGCAGGGAGTGAATGCACAGATAAACGGTGGTATTCAGCACACATACTTCTTCAGTTATGACCGCTATGCTGCTAACTAACGCGTAAATGCGTGTCAACCTGTCCAGTGCCTAGCGCACATAATATATAACCTATTGCATATATATAACCAAGCAACAGCACCCTTTGCAGGCGACTCGAATTAATTCATAAATAATGCAAGAGCAAAGGTAGATTACTGTGTAATTAGGATACCATGGAAAAGGATAAACACGGACAAAAACACTCACATGACACGGGCACACTATTGGAAATCGTGGGCAAGTGCCAAACAGAGCTACGTACTCTAAGTACTCTCAACCAATATAGACATGGCAACAAACTCAATTTATGGAATTATGCGAAAAGACGTACAATTAACATAATCTGGTGGCAGCCTAAAAGAAAAATCACGAGTATAGGTTGAAGAGCCACATGAAGGGTTAATGTGTGATTCCAGGTTGGAGCAACATACAGAGGCGGGGTAACAATGTGCACAGCAAGAATGTGTAATCTACAGTTCTTCGCGAAAACTTTACCTAGCAAGTGCTACATTGTTTTTTAAACCGCTAAAATGTAACTACTAACGAGCTGTAGAAGAAATCATTGTTCATTACCTTGGCTAATCTTGACCGTTTGATGAGGTCATTTAGTTTTCGCAGTGCCGCATTTCTTGGAAGAGCCTGAAGATCGCTGAATAGGTCCTGATGCTCCATTTCAAATAGTCTTCGGTTTTCATCATAATGCAAAGGCTGGTCCCAGAAGGACCCAATATATACTCGCGCCACCTCAGGTGTGTTGAGAACTTTTCCTAGTGACCACATGAGAGCTCCGTATACCCGCATTAACTGTTGATGATCGATCATGTCTGCTTTATTTAAAACTATTCTGATCTTTTCGTCGTGGCCTTTTAGTGCCTCGATACTACGGCGAAACTCATCCGAAATGTCTAGCTTGTGTGCATCAAATAGCAAGATAATTCTGTCTACTCTTTCTGCAAACCATTCTAACACCCCTGTAAAGTCGTAACCTCTGTCGATGCGTTGCTTTTCCCCCGATAGTATACCAGGCGTGTCGATGATTGATATTGATTTCAGTACTGGATTTTCCATTGTGGAGCACTGGAACCTGTTGAGAAATGAGTTTCCAAATTTTGATAGACCTCGAAAATGTTTTTTTACATCCACGACCAGTGCATTTCCAGGAATGATCACCTCTTCTTCACCATGCATGATCGCGATGAAACGATCCGTGGTTGGTTCTGGGCCGATACGCATTCCAGGAAAATCACTTTCCATCAGATATTTAATGAATGTTGTTTTTCCGGTCGAATACTGTCCAACCAAGAGCACCATTGGCTTAGCACCGAAATCAGCATTCTCTAGTGGCGGGGAATGAAAATCGTGAAATTTGTAGTGTTCCTCGAGAGGAAGGATTTTCTTCATATAACATGCTTTGAGGCCTGCCAGCACATTATCGTAGACCTCCGGCTCCTTCTTTCCTCTTCCAAAAAATGGCATGATGCCCTTTAAAGCGATGTACACGAAATATATAGAATATTATACATCTACAAAAATTACACAAGATCGGCCTGCGGTGACTTGTCTTTTCTGTGCAACGTGGTTCGATAGTAGCGCCATCTATGGTTATATCCGTCTATATTTACACGTACTGTAGTATGTATAATGTTTTCCATCGTCTCTTGACCATATATATTTGTGGTATATAGGCTGGTTCTAATGCATATATACCCCATAAGGAATAATCTTTATAGTTTGCAATCTAAGTGAATATGACGATAAGCTCAATAGTTTATAAACATGCTATGCAAAACTTGTTCACTGTTGTGTGTCACTGTGTTCGTGCTGTGTGCGCGCATTGATAACCAAGCGCTTGGTTCGAGCCACTGTTCAACCGATGATCGAGTATAATCGCTGATCGTGACATCACTAGTGATACTGTATATATAGATTATACACTTAGTGACAAATAGATTAAGTATTAACTCCAGTATTATATATTAAACATATATAATAAATGTGGTACACAAGCTGCCAAAAACTGCATTACATACACCCAACCCACAATCCGAAAACGCCCACCCCTAACTCATATACGCAAAATCACCACACTGCATCAGTAGTACATGAATAGAGGAAGTGAAAAAGCATCATCTTAAATACAGCACAACATAAAGACACATAGTAGTAGCAGCTGCATAAAATGCCACAGTATTATCACTATGTACACAGCAACACAAAGTCGATGCATTGCCGAAGTTAGCACGCAAGCACCGTACACACTAAAAATTGATGACTCATCATTGCATTTCATCCGCAAACTCGCGACAGAGCAGTCTCACCGAAAAACAACGATGCATTACTGCACTCTGCCTGTAACAAAATCACGACAAGAGTATCATCTGTTTAAAAAAAAAACCGAGGCATTACGGTGATTCGTGCGCACGCTCGTGGCTAACGCTACGCGACAACGTAGTAACCGATTTTCCGAACTCGCCACTGATAAAATAGAACATGTTCTAATCTCTCATCTAGTTGCTATCGGCTTGTTGAGTGCTCAAACTTGACGTTTACACTGCCGACTTTCGGTTGATTAACTAAAAAGCTGATGGACTCGTCAACTTTTCAACAGAAACATGACAGTGCAAACCCAGCTTACCGCTACGAGACGACAACGATGATGGCGACGGCGTAATTACCGGCTTTCCGCAATTTGAAAAGAGGCATTACTGCAATTCGTGCGCAAATTAACGTTTTTAACGTTACACTCGCGACTAACGCTACGACACGACGGCGATTCAAACACGCAATTCGTGCGTAAACTCATTACACCCGCGACTAATGCGTAACGAGACGACGTTGACGACGTAATTAATTACCGGCTTTCCGAACTCGTTCACGTCGTTGTCCTCGTTCGGCACGATCGCCATCAGCTGCGCGATGTCGACGGCGAGCATTCGATCGACGGCCTCCAGCAGCCGGGGCTTCAGCGCGTGAAACTTCGTGAAGTCCTGATCCTTGAGCTGCTCCTGCATGCGATGCAGGTCCGGGAAGTCTCCCGGCGAGATCTGATGCTCCCTCTGCACCTGTGGACGAGAGCGTCGGAGGAGGTGAGCAAGAGTATATATATCGCAGCCGGTGCGAGACGAAAGCGATCGCCGTGGCAAACTATACGTTACTTGTTACATACCCGAGGTTCCTCGTGGCAGTACAGAGACTCCCCGACTTACGAACATTCGAGTTACGAACTTTCGATGATACGAACAATTTGCCCTGAAGTCTATTAGTGTATAATGTCTATATTGGTGAATAAAAAAACACAATCGCCCCCTTGATTTGGACTTTCGCCAACTCCTGTGTTCACGTATATGTTTACACTATGTACACTTCTAGGTTACTCAATGTTCACACGTACATATACTACACTACTGTACAATACTGTATACGAACGTACATATGTTCGACTTATGAACGACCGCTCGGAACCGAACCTGTTCGTTAGTCGGGAGTCTTTGTACCTCATTTCTAAGCAAGTTGCGCAAAGATTCTCGTAATTAGCCAGGTGTATTAGGTTAGGAAAAACAAGAATTCTCGTATTTAGCCAGGTGAATGAGGTAAAGAAAAAACGAAGATTCTCATATTTAGCCAGGTGAACGAGGTAAAGAATAACGAGAATTCTTGTAATTAGCCAGGTAAGCGAGGTTAGAAAAAACGAGAATTCTCGTACTTAGCAGTAAACGTGTTAATTGAACACCCAATGTGGGAAGAAAACGTGCTCTGTTCTATGGCACGGAGGCTTTACGAAGAGCTTGTTCGCTTCGATGACCGGTATTGACTGTTGAGACGTGCATTGTGATGCACTTCGACACTCGTTAAACGTTACAAATAGTTAACACTTAACACAACTGTCTATACCACAATGTACAATGAAAACGTGGATGAGAGTGGAAGGAGGGACAGGGGGAAGGAGGGAGAGAAAGGAAGAGAAAGTGGGAAATACACGTAACCTACGTACACGTATTCCGACTTACCTAAGGCCTAATGATGTGCTCCGAATAGCTTCGAAAGGATGAGTGCTGGTTTACTTCTTGTCCTATCCTGAGGTCCTAGTGAACCAGTCTGGTGACTGACTGACTTTACCATGAGATTTTGGCTGCTTATATAGGAGCCTGGGATGACGTAGGAACCTGGCAGTACCTCCCTGTCCCGTGCCTCGGGTGCCTCGCCGTTGCCCCCCTTGCTCAACACGTGCAAAGGTGATGCAACCCCCCTTGGTCCAGTGTATGTCCGTGTATGTCCGAGCGCCACACCCCCCTGTCTGCCACGTGTTCCTCCGGTGCCGCTCTCTCTCCCTGCGCGTGTACGTGATGCCGCAACTCCCCTGCTCTCCCACATCTGGTAGCCATAGGACCCCCTTCCCCCTCGCTTGTTTGTCGCTGGGGAAAACTTTCTACCTCTGTTGCGGTGGCTGGTCTCTGGTTGCATGACATAATCGCCCCTGAAATCTCCACAACTCTTCACACTACATAGACTATATGCGCGTCAGATTTGTGGCTCTATTCCTTTATGTAAATCTGTTTAAGCTATTTTTATAGCACCGAGAAGTATAACATATCACATGTTGATATCTTTTAGGAGTTTTAATACTGACAAATACACCTGTACATACACCTCTCTATAGCACCTGTTGTATATAGATGATAAATATAGAATCATCACACTAGCAGGGGCAGTAACTCTTAACGAACGCAGGGGGAATAACTCGGCTGAGCGGAAATCGTGACTCAACCGGAGCATTAACATATGCGATCATGATGCACCTTACGGACCTTACGTTGTACATTCGGTTCTACTGCACTCTCGATCGATTTATTTAAACCAATTCGTGTTGAATTTCATGGAATAATTTCGGATGCAAGAGATACGTAGGGCATTGCACACACTAAAAAAAAATACACACCGCCCAGTCATACACCGCACACCGGCCTCACACACACCGCTACCGTGCAGTCCCACACCGGGTACCGCCTACTTCACACCGCCCCACCGTGTGCCTGTCCTCCCCCTCACAAAGAGAGGAATACACGAGAGCCACGTTTCTTCCGCGCAAGCTCTCTTATACCCCCCTTCGTAAACTGAGCCGTGAAACTCTTACCAAATATGTCTCCTCCCAATCACTGCCGACTACAGGGACGGTAGAGGGTTGGAATCATGGGCGATGGTCAGTTTCTAGAGTGGGAACGAGGGGACAGCCAATGGCGAGAAATGAGTGGGACTGTGTTTACGCCTTTCCCCCCTCTCGGCCACGTGGGTGCCCAACGTAGGTGGCATAGGTTTGACGTAGGTAATGATGTTGGATGTCCGATAGATTTACAACCAGGGCGGCCATCAGTCTTCGGGAAATATCCTCATTTCGGCCAATGTGCATATGTTCAGGGTGGAACAGCTGTTTAGCATCTGAGTTGAAACCAAGTTCTGCTTAAAATGTTGTTTGTTCTTTGCCGACGGTCGCCCAAACTAATGTAGTGATACGGCCACGGTGTATCTCCAAATGTAATTATTCATTGCAAATTGACACATACTATGCGGACAGTGGTGCCGCCACCATGTGTATCTAGTTTGTAGCCGAGCTAATGTTGTTTACTGTGGAAAAATTTTAACATATTGGTGTGTGTCCATTAGATAAATCCGTCTTCACTGCCGGTGGTGTGGTATATGATTACGCGGGTCGTCGCTGGCAATAGTGTAAAATGAGCTTGTGTGTGCTGGTGCTAAATGCGGTCGCAGAATGACATTAGCGTTGCTACATTAATATTCCGCATAGATTGGATCAAGAGCTAATAATACCTAGATTGTACAACGTGAAAACGGGAAAATAGTGCTATTTCACGACAACATTATTCTACTTTGCCTGCAAGTCTAGAATAATTTCATGGTATTGCATTAGCAGAATTTATTGCTCTCTAAAACAAGACCAACCCTTGTCAATACGATACTCCAAGGTTGAGATATTGGCCCCTAAACCACATGCGTCTAAACAGAGGAATTGCTCCGACCTGTGATTGGAGGATAAGAATAGGCTCACGTGTCAACTCGGTTCGTGAACCGAGCTGATCGGTGAGCTCGGTTCGCCGGCTCGTGTACTAACTCTCTCATCTCGCGAACGATTTGAGTTACATTTCTAAAATTCTAGATGCATATAAACACATGTCTTCGCTATGATTTCTGTGAATTTTGAGTTTATTGAAGCACGAATAGTTTAATTAATTACCAGAAATATACGTACGCGCGGTATCATCCCGCGTCAGGTGCACTTCACACCTGGTTACCACGCCAGCCGGCGTCGTGTGAAATACTGGTTGAACAACTGACTTGTAGCCAGTTATATTACTGGATATGCTAATTGATTGTAAACGAGATCTTGTCTTGGTAAACAGATTTGTGTTCGGTGACTAATCGCGGCGCGTGCCGTGTGCCGGTGTGTGCGTGTGCGCGCTTGTGTGTGTGTGTGTGTGTGTGTGTGTGTGTGTGTGTGTGTGTGTGTCGTCGCGCGTCGTGTGTGTGTGTGTGTGTGTGTGTGTGTGTTGTTGTTGTTGTTGTGTGTGTGTGTGTGTGTGTGTGTGTGTGTGTGTTGTTGTT